CTTTCTGCGGTTATTTTTTACTACATACGTGGTCATGTCAATTGTGTTTAATTTTTTTCCCGCCATTATTTGACTTGCCTGGCGCCGTTTCATGCTGTTTGAACAGTGTAAAATTGAAGCGCCGCTTGGTTTATTGATAAAGTGGCTATTCACAACCGTAAGATAGATACTTTTGCCATCAAATTTTATCCTACTGTCGCTCGTTCCGAGAGGCCATTACAATTCCTCAAAGGAGAAGAAAGCACTCTCTTCGTTAATCTTCCTTGATGGATATCTTTAATGCCTTGTTCGCTTTGCCGCTAGATGAATCTTCAAGGACTGCCCCGATGTTACAGTTATCACATATCTCTGTTCTTCAAGATCGTGTATAAAATTCCAATCCTCATGGAAGCAATCACTGAAAAAAACCAATATTTTGGAAGTGTTCGAAAATATCCAAATTTGATCCGATAACTTGAGAGACGCTAATGGGTTAAAAGCTTTTAAATAAGTCATAAAACGTTTATTGTAACGACATTCGAAGGAGGGAACTGTTTCGTCAGTGCTTCACTTGAAATGTTATGCCATCATATACCTTTTTAGCTTTCCAAATTGACAAAGAAACTGAATTGCAACGAATGTATTAATGCATTACAGTTGCAACTAAATGCTTTCTGGATGAAGAAAATCAACCGCACCGCTCAGTCAAGACTATCGTTGCCTAAAAGAACAGAAATATTTATAATTTTATTGTTATAACATTTGTGATAGCCGAGTGAATCCACAGAATTAACCGTGAGGGAAATCAGTTTAACACACCAATTTAAGTACAAAAGTGCCTTCGTACTAGCTGTTATCATGTATTGTGAGACTTGAAATCACAAGAGCAATCGAATTTATATATACATACACTGCATGCTGTTGTTTTATATTTCTCTCTTTCGGGTGAATCTTGTTACTGCGATGATCGATTATTTCGGTCTGCCGACATGGATATGGTGTTTATTTTTTCGTGAATTTTCCATTCTCGCGTTTGAAATTCATTCAATTCACTTGAGTCACAATTTTTGCTGAAAGTGGTTCAATCTCAGCGTGATTTCAGTATCACTGGCGCGGAAACTCAATATGCTAAGAAATCTTGCATAACAGGTGCAAAAAAACAACTTCATATTTCAAATAACGACGTGAACTGAATTTCAAGAAAAGATGTTACCCACTGATCCTTCGGCGTTCGCGAAACATGACTTGAGACTTATTTTTTCAGTTTTCGGTTTTTTTTTCTTTTAACGCATTTGACATTCTAGCTCGGAGCGAACTTCAATGGTTGGATCGTTCATGTGTCTCGCGAACGATTATGAAACTTCTTTGATTTGACAAACGCGCTTTAGACCGATGTCGTTAATCGTGAAGGTTGTCAACGAGTAATTATTTAAGGACTCGTTTGTATTGTGAGAAAGGAGCACGATTTTGACGCCCACGTCAGTGGAATCAACAATAAAAATTGCGCAGTTACCTAACCCTTTAAGTTTTACTTTTAAAAAAAAATTAAAACCACAATAACTGACCCGATCTAGACATGCCTGACACTGAAAGAAAGTCAATCTACTCTTATGTCAAGAAATTTAAAATGCCCTTGCAGCTATATTCTTTCGGTGTGTATGCCCCAACTTCGAGGCCTTTAGGGTATTCTAGAAATATGAAACAGAACGATAAGATCACGAGAGCCACACCTAGCTACCTATTAGATACATACAGATCAATACATAAATGATATCTTTAACTGCCCGGAACTCAGGAAACTTGATAAAGTCTGAGAGAGACAGACATCTATTTGTACAATCAACAGCCGTCACCAGTAACCATATCTAAGCCTGTAGAAATGCATATATATGCCTCTGCAATCAGAATGGAAGAACAAGCTTTGGAAGCATTTAATTTTCGCCCAGTTACGGGTTTGCAGAGTAATTAGATTCTACGTTACACGGATGCGCCGAAGTGATCAAATATTGCGCTCTTTTCATTTGAATGGCGCCACTCTGCCGGTCACTTGTAGCACTGTTTATTTTCTTTTGTCTTATTTTTAATTACTGAAGGGGGATGAGAAATCTAATTCAACCACGGAAGACAAGCGATGATAAAGGGCTCTGAGAATTTCTTACAGCGCCTAAAGGAAAAAATATATATATAGATCTGTACGTGTTTTTATGTATGCCTCGTCCAGTTTCCCCTTAAGTCTCTACCGAAAACAGAATCCACTACTCACACTCTTTTCCAAGTTCGAAGAACATTTGCCACTTTTTCACCTATTGCTTCATTACGGCTGTAAGTTTCAGGAATGAATACTGATTTTCCCCTGCATTTTCCAATAACCTAAGTACAGGAAATATAGAATTTCTAAACTCTTAAATTCTTGTATTGACTCAACAATGGGGAAATAATTCGAAGGAGTCTGCTAATGCCAATTTACATGTATGAATTGAATTAACCATTTCAGAGATGGAGGAAAAATAATTTAATACTACCCATGGTACCTCTTATTTTCAGAGGAAATTCTGTATGGAAAAAAAAAAACGCAAAAAGAACAAAAGCCAAAATAACACTTAAACACAGCAACGTCGAACAGTTGAGCTTGCCCCGACTTCTTCATTGGTTGATGAGATCCATAGTCGTGACACGTTTAAGCTAACTGAGGTGGTTAACTGAAGATACAGGTTCTGTAATTTGCTGCTTTGTGCCGTACTTCCAGAGGGCAAGGAAAAGTAGATTCAATGATTATGATTCTAGTGATACAAATACCAATACCTTTAACAAAAATAAAATTAATAATAATAATAAAAATAAAATAATAATAATAAAAATAAAATAATAATAATAATAATAAAATAATAATAATAATAATAAAATAATAATAATAATAATAATAATAATAATAATAATGATAACAATAGTGCTCCGGTCATCAGGAACTCTTTCCTGTTTTCATAAGCAAGAATCTTATTAGGTCTAAATATTTTTAACTATTTGGGTTTTAGTATAGTTTTAATAATTCAGGTTAAGTCCTTATCACGGAGTTGGCTACGGCTCGCGTGGCCCAACTATAGTGCTAAGGATTTGGGCATCCAGGTGTGGTATACTCTCATAATAATAACACTAGTAATGATAACAATAATAATAATTATAATAATAATAATAATAATAATTATAACGATAATCGATAATCTTTATTCAATACTCATAAAAAAAAAGACCTATGTACAGTGCTTCACTTAAAAAGAATTAAATTTGTACCTTAACATCTGTTAGAAAGAAAAGAAAAAAATCATAATGTCTCAATATCTCTTGAACTATAATCCACGAAAATGTTTCTAATTATTATTACTATTACTATTAGCAATCACTACCAATATTTAATAATATTATAACGATAATAATAATAATAATAATAATAATAATAAAAGTAATGGTAATAGGACAGAGCGGGGTTAAATATGGTTTGTAAACGCATAATTAACAGAATCTGAAGACCACGAGACCAGAGTCCGACTTGTAAATTACGAGTATGATTATTCAAGAGATCATAAACATATTCTTATCAATACCTTCCATGATAACGCGGTTAACGATCTCGATATCATCTGTCTTTGCGGTTTCCGGTGTTCAAGTTTTAACTTAGTTTTTCTGAACTGTAACCGCTCATTATCGAAACAAATTTATAAATGTTTACGGGCACACAAATGTATAAATCAACTAAAAAATCATGCATCACTGTAGTTTTAACATTAATTTTTATAGTAAAATCAGTTTCTAAAAATTTATTGATTCGAATAATAATTATGATAATAATGATAATGGCATGAGGCGCTTCTTTATTGCGACCAAACTATATTCATATAATTTTGGCTCACCAGCTTATACTTAATTTCCACCCTACACGATATCTTTAGATATTTTACGCGGCTTAGAAATTGCTTTTGAAGAGAGTGAAACCTCGCAAAATTTGTTTTTTCAAGTAAACATGAATCAAAGAGGGAAGAAGGATAGATTGAACCAAAACAGAACGAGACCGATAAAAGATAAAGAAGATGAATGACTTGAGAGCCCCGGTCTGAATTATTGCAAAGCCGGTTAAGCCTGGACTTAATACAATCAAATGCACATGTGGTGAATTAAAACATCAATATTCACATTCTGTGTAGTGTTCTCAATACCTTTCCCAAGGTGCTGACAAGGAGAATTTGTTCAACAATCTAATGCCTCTTTAGTTCGTGATCATTTCCTTATTTCTGTGACGTTCAGGGTGATTTGCAAGGGAGCAATAAGATTCCAGTCACGCGCACTCTCAGGGGTCAAAGATAAAGGTTTTTTGAACAGGGAAGTGAATATTTTTAATCACGTCTCGTTCTCATTTCCAAACAATGATAAATAGAGGATAATACATGGGCGCGCGTAGGTATGAAATTTCTCTTCGAGTGTTTAAGTAAAAGACGAATTTATAAAAACATATTAACGTTCAAAAATTGGGGAGAATATTTTTCCATTAATCTGCTTTGTCCTACCTGACATTCTATTCAAGGACTTGAGAGAATAAGGAAAAATCTACCATGAGAATCCGAGCATTTCGTTTTCAGCTTGACTGGCAAATTAACAACGTAATTTCCAGATGAGTAGGCTTCCGGACCAAGGCTAAAACTTTGCTATTGAGCAATTTGGATTTAAGATGATACGTCGTTCTATCATACTTTGTGATACCTACTAGGGTCTACTCGCTCTCCGACCGTCTCTACCATGTTCATTTTAAAGTGCGAGAAGTTTTGTTACCGAGTGCGACAGCTTACTTTATCACAAAGTGCGATGGTCTGTTATTACAAAGTGCGACGATTTTATTACAAAGTTCGACAGGTATTAAAAAGCTTAAGTACGACGATTATTACAAAGTGCAACAGAACATACGTCAGTTGATCAGGGTAGCATTTCCTGCTCACGTTAAGTGGACTATTGGACTGGATAATTAATTTCACTGATCATCAGCTATTATATTACTATATTGATTTATCACCTTTATATCCACTTCTATATTCTGTCTGAATAGTGAATGCAATAATGAATAGGAAAGTATGATACAATGACACAAGTTCTGAAGAATAAATTTACAAGGTAGCCTGAAGAGGCTAAGTAAGTACATACTCTAAGAATGAGATCGTCAAGTCCTAGTCCAGTCTCTAGTTAAAACGAGACTTTCTCATAAGAAAATAGTGTCTATTTGAAGTAAGAACAGACTGATATGGGTAGACTACGGTCACCAACCTTGGCAAAACGTTCTGGTGTATCTTTGCCTGAGAAGAGACTTCAAGCTTCTCTCGGCGCAATTACAAAAACATTTTAAGAATTTTAACTAAATTTGGGAGAAATCTTATTCTACAGATTTCAACACCTCGATAACAAAAGATACACGCTTCTATCTATTTGAGTTGTTACTTTATCTCATTATCACAACAATTGAAGTGAAATGATTGTTTTTAAATTTTGCATAGTTTGGTAAACGAGGTGCTTGACAAAGTCACGTTCAAATTGCAAATATTGTCGTTTTGCGTATTTCCTGACATGAAAATGCTTATGACATCACAAACAAAGCTCAGACAAGGATTTTGATTGGCGTATAAATGTTTAAGACACGATCTGTTCTTCATCGGAAATAAAGGTCTCGACACGTGATTTCGCAATTATAAAGCCACACATCCTCTTCACCTCGGCAGGTATTGCTGTCGATGTCACGAACGAAGTAGCTGAGATGAGAAAATCGAAGAAAGACAGTAAAGTTGCAGACGAAAACGAGAGCTCAAGGAAACCGAAAGGACGCCGGGAGAGGTTTTGTAACCCTTTTAAGACTTCGAAGGATGCGGAATATCCTGATGGCAAATACGATCTACCTCTGGTCGATTATCAACCCGTGGCAAACCCCGATAGGACCTTTGTGTACGATGATGGCGCTCTGGAAGTCAGCGACACTGGGGTAACCTCTGTGTCACCTCGTGCTCTGAAGATTTTTGAAGCGATTCGTGAAGAAGAAGTGGAACTGGTCCTGGAAGAGCTCAGTAACCTGCAAGACACTCACGAGATCGACAAGAAAGATGGCCATGGCTTCGCCCTTATTCATGTTGCAGCACGATACAATTTTAACAGAATCGTCCACACTCTGTTAGATTATGGGGCAGATATAAACATTGGTACCAGTCAGTTTAAGTGGACGCCTCTACACTTAGCCGCCAGGTGTGTTCAAATTGAAATGAAATCCGCAACAGTTAAACTTACGTGCTTTGAATTTAACATTCGTTTTCTTTACATGTCACCCGTTGAACATTTACATACGATCACGAAAAAAATCAAAACTCGTTTCTCTCTTCTGTACTTTGGTCAACATAAAAGATCAAATCGCTGATTTTAGAGATTTAGCACGGGGATGTTTTTTCCTCTACAAGCAAACTGTTATATTTCGCTCTAAACGTCGCATCTTTCTGTTTTGAAATATTATTGTTTTGATCTGCTTTGTTTGGTAACGCCATCTTCATATGGCTCACTTTAGGTTTAGTATTTCATGTTATCATGTACTTGTTTTTAAATTTGTATTTCCGTTGAGTTCTGACAGGATAATGTGGGAAGAGTGATCCTTTGGCCAAAGTGTTGATAAAAAAATACTGTATTGTGTGCTTTGTTAAAATTTCTTGACGATCAAAATTTTGACAGATTATGTAAATTTACTGGATATTGGATATGGTTTTGGTTGTGATTAGCATAATGCTGTAACTGAAATAGGCTTAGTGGAAACTATGAACATTTATATGGTCGCTTCAGTTTATAAGGGTCAAACTATGGATATTTCAGAACTGAATCCGTCATACTTTTAAAATATGTTTTTCCTTTCTTTATTTCTCTGGTTTTATTGCCTTGGCCTGAATAATTTTTACGCCTAAGGAATTTTTCGACTGTTCAATAATCTAACCGTTGCTTTTTAAGTTCGCCATTTACAGTCATATAAATTGTCGCTATGCTTGCCGTTCTTCTTGGTATTGGTAATTTTTTCCCACCGATTGTTAGCTTAAGCAAATAACTATTGCAAAGTTAATCCCATCCAAACACAACAGTCAAAAGAAACATCTAAAAATGTCGAAATTGTTTCTTTGACTTTGATAAGTTTGCTCTGATTATAAAGTCATAAAATTAAAGGTGTCACATCTTTAAGACTTTGAAAAATCGTCAAATCCCAGTTGGCTGTGAAATGTTCAGGCAATAAGTATCTAGAAGTGTGTTATACTTGTAAATTACATATATGTATTATTATACTTCTTACTATACTTTCACTTTTATGGCACTTATCACACAGGTTCAATGGTCTCTCCACTGTAAACGTTCTTTTGCAACGAGGAGCAGACCCATCCATTAAAGGCATCAAAGGAAGCACCCCACTGCACTTCGCAGCGCTCCGAGGAAACGAAGAGATCGTAAAAGCTCTTCTGGAGCATCCTTCAGTAAAGATTGACGAAAAAGATGGCTCAGGACAAACTGCTTTGCACCTAGCTTGCGGCGAAGGACATGGCAAAGTTTCCCAAATTCTCATGAATTATGGAGCAGACATTAGGGCAGTTTCGGCGGACCGGTCGACACCCCTCCATAATGCCATTGTACATGGACATTCGCAGATCGCAAGACTTGTATTTAGGCGAGGTAGGGAGATATGTCTTACAACATACTAATCATAATTATGGTAATAATGATGATAATGATAATGGAGATGATCTTGTTTTTACTAGCCTCAGACAACGATGTTGACACTAACACAAAGGAAATGGTGGACAATGAAGATCTGCAGAATAACACAGTTCTACATTTGGCGGCGTGGAATAATGATGTGATAACCGCTGAACTTTGTCTTGAAAATGGCGCTAACGTCAACTCGAAGAAATGTGACGAAGCTAGTGCACTGCATTTGGCTGCAATCCGAGGGAACCTAGAGGTGGCTGAATTGCTGATATCTCGAGGGGCTTTTGTTAACGTTAAAGACGGAGACTCCAAAACACCTCTTCACAGGTATGCCCTTGAGAATTACTTGCTTCTCCACATTGTGTTTGCTGTTAGGGCAAGACTTTCCTCAAGCCTAACATTTGGTTCCACAAATGGAGCTGTTTTAAAGTAAAATGCTTGTTATGAATATTTGTTTCTTGAAGAAAGTAGAGAACTGAGTTATTGAAATTTAAGACTTGCTGAGAAACATAGTGGTATCCAGTACCACACAAACTCGTTCTCAGTGAGCTGTTAGTCAGTGGGAAACACTATGTGGATGAGGCTGTGGTAGTGCTACCGAAACAGTCATTCAGTGGGAGTCACAGTAAGCTGACGAAGCTGACGAGTTTTAAAGGCAACTATTCAGTTACGTAGGTAACATCATGTCATTAGTCGGACGGATCGTCAGCCAGACAGTTGTAGGCATCAAGCTCGAGAACTTAAGTTTGTTTCCTGCTGAATTTTGATGACCAATCCATGGCGAATTTACTATTGCTCTGCAGGGCGGCTATGTTCAACCAAACCAAATTTATTGAACTTCTTTTGGCGAAAGATGCCAAGCTAAATGCACGTGATGGCGAAGGCCGCTCGCCATTCCTGAATGCAGTTGCTGCCGGTCACGTTGAAGCAGCCAGGGCTCTCCTCCAACATGGAGCTGACATCTCTGCAACTGATTTGCTCATGAAGACTTGTGTTCACCTCGCGGTAGAGAATGAACGGCTCAAGATGCTTGCTATGCTTTTAGAGACTCGCGCGGGTACTAACAATTTGTCCAAAGCAGATCTGTGGGATAGGGTCCCTTTACACAGTGCTGCCATTACAAAAGACATAAAGGTAAAGAGAAATGCGGTGTAAATGGTTCATGACTAGTCGCAAAGTAGTCTTCTTTCTGTATACACAGTTGATGTCTCTGCTACAGTCATTTATCAAAACAATAATCACGGCCGAATTAAATATAGTATATACAAACTCGATCGCCAACCAAGCTCCAAATATACATTATCCCTTTGTTAACCATTCTCCGCTTTCGACATGGCTGATCCTAGCTGCTGGTAAAATGTTTGCCACATATGAACCGAGTATTTGGCATAGCTCGTCGTGAGTTTCCAGTGACGCATAGATAAGTGAAATAACCATAACATTGGAGGCTCGGAGATTCCAATCCTTATTGAGACCCATACCTTTCTTTTCATTCCTTTAAAAGTAATCTATATTATGTGTTATGTTTAAAGTAAAAGCCCGATGAAATAACTTCTTGATAATGTGTCTATCGTACAGATTCTAGAGCTGATATTATCCAAGCAGAAGCAAATGTCCTACCGAGATGTGAATCAGAAAACCCCTGTCCATCTCGCTGCAGAATCGTCTTCATCTAAACACGTTGACTTGTTAATGAAGCGGATGTGTGGCGTTAACGATCGAGACGACCTTGGGCGAACCCCCCTTCATTGTGCGGCCAGGAAAGGACAGCGGTAACAAAATAATCGATTATTTTTTCATCACATTCGGTGTTAAGTGACGTACGGAATTAAAAACTTTACGAAAAAGATTTCGTTCAATGCAAGCTATTACAACAGCTACCAGGTGATCAAAGTAGTCTTACTGATCTCTAATTATCGAAATATGAAAAATCATTTCTTACGACATTTTATTTCCACTGGCAATCTGTTTTCTCTGAGTTCTTATTTAGTAATTCCCGATTCTTAAGTTTCTGATAGAGCCACATTCCATTGCCTCTTTCGACTACAGTTTTTTTTTGTTGACATTAAAACGGAGGATTACGTGAGCTTGGGTCGCGTAGGATAAGACATGAAAAAAACTACCTATAAATGGAGAGAAACGTAGAAACCCAGCAGATTTTTTTCAATCTCAAGGGTGCAGTCTAATAGAAGTCCAACGATCTAGTGCTAAATTCTCTGTAAGTGACTTTTAACTTAGTGTTACGAATCTTTAGGGGCCTTTGTGGGTGTAACCACCAATGAAATAATGCTTTTTGTGTTTTGCTCATTGCCATGTAATTGATTCCATCTTCATAGGAAAGCTTGTATAGTACTCTTGAGTATGGGAGCTGAAATTAACTGTAGAGACAACAATTTCCAAACTCCGTTGATGTTGTCAGTGAAGGGAAACCACGCCAAATGTGCCGAGCTTTTGCTCGACCACAAAGCTTCTGCTGACCTTTGGGACAACGATGGTGACTCTGCATTACACATGGCATGCGGGCAGGGGCGTGGAGCTATCGTGGAACTTCTTCTGGACCGCGGAGCAAGCGTAGTGCTATTAAATAATAGAGATCATGCATGTTTGGAAACGGCAGCTAAAGCGGGCTCCTGCGAGGTCGCCATGGTATTTGTGAAGCACAAAAGGTCAGTTTTTTGTCGTTGTAGTGCTTAAAGAAACCATAGATGTGGTGAACTAAATAATGCTTTTTTCCGATACACCAATTCCAAATGAGTAACCGGTTACAGAGGTTACAGAGGAACCCCAAAAGACAACCGAATCTCCTTAAATATAACGATTTTTTTAAATTTTCACCCAAAATATTTGTGTAGTATGGTGTAATAATATTTTTCTGGTTTCCTGACGCATAACTCTTCTATTTAATTGTTTGCTGTTTATCCTTTTAAGGTGGACAGAATTGGAAAATTACAAAACATCAACAGGCCAAGATGCCATGTCACTCCTTGTTGAGAATTTTCCAGATGCAGCTGAAGTTTTGCTCAATCATTGCATGCATCACTCTCCGCGCCTCAACGTTTCCGATCCAGACTTTGCGGTTACGTATAACTTTAAGTATCTGGATCCTGGCCCAAACGTTCAAGATTGCCGTAGAAGATCCAGATTCTCAGCTCTTGAAGCCATGATCAAGCACAATCGGCAGAGGCTCCTTCTTCATCCACTCACGCTGAAGTTCAACCAAAGGAAGTGGAGCACATTGGGAAGATATGTGTTCATCTCCGATTTTTTCACGTACCTCTTATTGATGATACTCATCACTGCATTTATAGTTGTTCAGAGGGAGGGCCAAAATTTCAGACCAGTGAAGAGACAAATGCCAAGGCCAAGGCAACTTAAAAACGCGATGGAAGATGATGAAGACGACTACAAGCCTAAACCCTCCGATATTTATCCGACGAAAACGCCTTTTACGCAAGCTGCACCAGTTATAATTATGATATTATCCTTATTCCATATCATTAAAGAATTTTTCCAGATTTATGTTCAACGCTGGAATTACTTTAAGGACGCGTCCAATTACCTTGACTGGATTCTATATTTCTCTGCTGCAATTTTTATGGTTCCCTATCTAACTACAGGAGAAAACCTCGACGACTGGTTTGCAAGCATTTCTGATCCACGCTTACTCTGGACAACTGGAATTTTCGCAATCTTCGTGTGTTACATGAACATGATGCTCTTTCTCAGGAGGTATCGTTTATTTGGCACTTACATCTCAATGTACATTGAAGTGACTAAGACGGTTTTCCAGGTGTTGCTGGTTTTTATTTTCCTCCTCTTTGGATTTGCCCTGGTGTTCCACATCCTCTTCAAAGAGCAGGTAGGGTGCATCATATTTTTATCTTCTTCAGCAAATTACTGACGTATTTTTCGCAAGCTACGCAATAGAAGCGTGCCAGTGGTTGGGAATCATTGTTAACAAAGCGCTCAAGAATAGTCAGATATAACATTATGGGATTGAACTAGGATGGCAAAGGAAGAAAATTTTCTATTGTTGTTGCTGTAAAATACAATCAAAATTTGCTGCCTCAAGAAAAAAAATCATAAACAATAAACATGTCTCGCATCTTATTGCAGACTGGATTTCACACCGTGCAACACTCTTTACTGCGTGTAATGGTTATGATGATTGGGGAGCTGGACTTTGGCTCAATCTTCATTGATTCAATCGATGAATACAGGAACGATAAAAAGGAGCGGCCGTTAAATCCATTTCCACAAGTTGGGTTCTTCTTCATCTTCCTATGTTTGATTTTACTGGCCGTTGCACTCATGAATCTCTTGGTAAGAAAATTTGATTCAATAAGTTTTCGATTACACAACAGAATGTCTTTTTGATCTGCAACCTTACCAATATTTGTAAAATCGATGTTTTTTTTTGTTATCATATGTGCATTTGTGTGGTTGTGGCACTGATTCAAGAGCTTATTTCGTTTGGGTGTCAAATGAAAAGAAAGATAATGAAATTGGCCAATCACAAAGAAGAAAAAAAAATCCAGTTGTATTTGAGGTAAAAGCCAGCAAACTGGCAAAAGCGCGGAGTTCTAAGCTTTTCTTTTGTTTTAGGTCGGTTTGGCTGTTGGGGATACTGAGCAAATGAAGAAGTTTGCAACAGTGAGAAGATTGGCCATGCAAATTGAGTATCAAATTGCAATAGAAGAAGCCTATCCTTCTTTTATCATCCGCAGAGTCTACCAGATGGTTTACGTCGAAAAACCAAACAAACACTCGAGACGCAAAAGGTATGAAAGTAGACTAAATGATCACTTCAGTCAATTTTTTTAAACAGATGAGTATGATAAAGTTCATTCAGTGACATAGACGACGTCACCAGCTAATATAAATTAAAAGTTGGACTCCGCATTATGTTTAAATGGAATGTACAAGGGCAGCACCTGTATTAAGCGTTCACCTATGGGATTGGCAGGGTGACTGTCTAACACAGGTTGAACGTTGCAGACACGTTTTTTTTTTGTTTTTTTTGTTTTTGGTTTTTTGTTGTTGTTTTTTTTTTATCTCGATCGTTCAGTGGAGCGTTGAGGAGGACGACACAATAATGAGCAAAGTTGCCAAAGGCAAAGGAAAAAACTCGCGGCAAAAATGGAAAAACCGGAAAATGTGCTGAGGAGCGAGACAACAAATCGACCGACAGCTTTCAAAATTACATTCGAGGCGATTGTTCATGTTTTTGTAGCAAGGCATGCAGAAAGAAAAGGAAACCTCGTTTTTAACATTATGTATGGCAAATTTTGTTTTGACGGCGACTTCTTTGTTCGAAATTTGGACGCCAGCGTGGAGCTCCGCCACTGCCAGTCGCTTTCACGGAGGATTTTTTTCTTTTCTTGCCAGAATGGTACTCTTTTTCTCTTCTTTGGGCCTGTATTTTTTTCTTTTCACCAAGGACTTTCTTCCGCTTTTGATTTTTCCATGAGCAAAGATTCTGTAAGCAAAGAGCTTCCACGTGTGAATTTTGTGAAGTGCGCGATGTAAACAAAATATGGGAATAGCATTGAAATCGAGCCTCAACATGGGATTCGCCCAGGTCCGAGATTATGACACCTTCTTGATTTATGAACTTTTATTAGAGAATACGTGTTTCTAAATAACTCGGTTGCTTTAAAGATTTCAGGAAAAAATTTATGGAAACGTTGGGTTGAATATTTGAATTCGGTTTAGTCAAATAAAACAAAAATCGATATTTTCGGACTCTCAAGGAGGGAAGTGACCTTAATACAGGTATATATGATTATATGAATGATTATCCAAATTGTTCTGAATTTGAACTCAAAGTACTAACATTGATTCCGGGAGATAAATATGTAATAAATTTGACTTGAGAGATTATTCGTAGTTGTATTTGAGTGGTTCCGCCTTGAGTGACCGCTTAATACAGGTGGAAGACAATACAAACAGGCCATGGGGGCTCAGTCAAGGGTGACCACGACCGCTTAAAAGAGAAAATTACGGTACTTAAGGGGAAAAAAAATTCGGAACTTTGACGACCGACCACTTAATAACTGGTGCCGCTCAACTCAGGTTCGACTGAATTTCGATTCTTTTCATGCTCTTGAAACCAGAATTAATGAGCTATTACGTTGTGAGCCTCAGGTCTGATGTGCAGGGTACCTCTTAACTTGATGTGATGTAGCTTTGCTGGCTGAAGCCTGTGGCTTGCCCATTAGATAATAATGATGTCATCAGTCAACCTCAGCTTGCAGAAAAACGATGAATTAAATCTTTGCTCGTTTGCGATTCTTTACAGAGTAATAGACTGGTTATATGCATGGATTGATGAAGCCACTCCAGAGCCAGTTGATGATGAAGACAGCAAGCCAAATGAACTTGCCGTGCTACACGAAGAGATGACGAAGAACAAGAAAAGGATCAAGACGATGATGGAAATGCTAGAAGCACAAAACAATTTGCTTAGAAGTCTAGCACACAGAATAGACCCCAGCTTTGAGCTACCGCAAGGGAATGAGGAGGCCAGGGGAGGACGTCGCATGGATGGTGTGGATGGTCCAGATGGCAAACATGGCCCATCACGTGAAGGAGGAACAGAAAGCGAAGTACCGACGGATGACACAAGCGCAGAATTCACAAGGGAAGACAAGGCATCAAATTCTCTCTTCGAGGGTGGCTTGTAATTCCCGCTTGGTTCAACGCACTCACTGGAGGCAGTTAAAAGCATCAAATGCTCACCCAACAACGTGCTAGAAACGGACGGATTAAATAAAAATGGGACTTGTACCAACAACAACTCTCGCCCGAGAACTTTTTGATGTGACAAGAAAAAGCTGTAGGAGTAGTTCCTTTTCAGTGAGAACTTCTCTCATGTCAAAGCTTTTGCCAAATGTATTGCTAAAGTGCATCTGTGGTTCCATTTACTGAAACAATCCGATAAAAGCGGTAATGTGTGGACTAGCTGATGGCCTGACACTTATTTCTCCTTTACGTTTGCTAAAAACGATAAGTGTTAAACAGGAATATATTTAAACGGGAGAATACGCACAAAGAGACTTCGTTCCCGTTCATCAACAGAACGACTTTCTGCCGTTAGGTGTTTAAATGTATAATATGATTTGAATATTTTGTTAGTCATTTTGTAATAATGCGTGTGGATTGCGTATAGAGTTGTTACCCATGCTTAGCGGTAGATACCCAATGCATATAAATGGTCTCGTAGAAAACCTCGATGAAATCGTGTGAGAATCAGTGAATCAGTTAAAGCGTTTTCATATTATGGTTTAGAACGAGTGAACACTTGAACAGTACCGATAGTAACGTTGTTATATTAGAGATGTAACATCCGTTCATTTGTAGTTGAACCAGATAACTATTCTTTGGCCGACCAATCGAACATTTCACCATTCTCAAATACATTATAATTTTTTCCCTTATTAATCAAAACTATAACAAAAGTTTCGAACGTGATTGGTTATCACCAGCCCGATTTGAACACTGATAGGACAGTGTACGCGTCATGCTTGTAATTGGACAATGAATGATTAACTGTTTTCTTTCTTGCTGGTTAGAATTAGTATGATTTCTTTCCGAAAAGAAATCCGTACGGATTCAAGATCATATCTAGAGAAATATTTTGAGACCTAACGACATAACGACCTAACAAGAATTTCAGCGTCTCTCTGTGAGCATGTGACAGACTTCTACCAGATGGTCGAGGAATTCTACACTTCAAGGTCACCAACTTTTCAGTTGTTCTGTCGTGAACTGTTCGTTTTATTTTGCCCATGGAAAATCTATTGCAATCTTTGCGTGGCGCAAGGTACGTTATGTTCTTGAATACCAATCAATTAAACGTCTGCAAAATTGTAACGGTCCAATGGCTTTTGGCAGCGATTCTTTTATTGAAGCAGCTACAATATTATCCTTTGTTTATTCGCACAAAGGAACTAACAAAGCAGGGTATATTAGAGAGTCATAATGGGGTAATGGCTTTTACGGCTTCAGTTAAAAGTTTGGCCATTTTTACGCCGAAGGTTAATTTCCGTGACGGTTGACAGAATATTCTTTGCAGCCAACTTTTTTTTTTACGTATAACGGTTAAAATTTGTCAATTTGTACGCCTAACGGCTGATGTTTTTTGTTCTTTTATGGCTAACGGTTAATCCAGACCCTCGTATTGCCTCTACACTACACGATAACGGGAAAAAGTTCAGGATATTAATGTACCATCAAATTTTGAGTTACCTTCCCTTTTTCAACAAAACCAAACATCACCCAAAATGGCCTCGGCGGAATCCCTTGTCCTGTATCATTTAACTGTACCTCTCCTGAGCAAAGTCAAGCTATATTCCTATGAGTGTAACTCATTTATCAAAAGCTTTGACGAAGAATGAATGATAAGTAAATGTACTCGTGATTCATATGGCAAAACTATTTTCAAGTTGATGTTGATCAGAGATGCAGATTATAACGAAAATGAAAAAAAAAAGATGTAAACATAAATAAGTAAAAAATACAATTTTCTCTTACTAACAAAATATAGCGTAACTCGTGAAACTGTGATCTGATTCAAATTGAAAAACTCTCAGTTCAAAAGTGTTTGAGGTAAAATTTCCACACCGCCCCATACTACATTATACATACAGTTCTTGGATAGAGAAAACAATGACATTTTACCGTGTTTTAAACAACTTTACGGCCTGATACGTGACACTTAAGAGGTTCTCTTGGTGATTTGTTCTATGCGGGACCTTTCCAGCGTCTAAGGTCGAGTACTATATACAGTCGCAGTCTTTTCAAGGCGGCACAGCGGGTACACTACTAATTGAAATAAACGTTCTTATGTTAATCACGATCACAATGCAAAATAGCTTGAAATCACAAGCGAACTGACTATATTAACTCTCGCCAACTCGAGGAGAAACAATTAGAATTCCTACGCCTGGAAGCTGGTGATCCAAGAAAACCCGGCAACATTGCTGCGGCTAAGAAACATGTCGATCAAAAATAACCTCCGAAATAAATATCTACTTTCACCGATGGAAGACGAAACCAATGGAAACACTAACGTCGGTGAAGACCGAAAGAAAGCTCCTTTCGTGAGCAAAGAGAGACTAAATTTGGAAATGAGCGAACTTGGAAAGCCAATTATCTCTCGAGCCACCGGTTTGTTCGAAGCTGTGCGCGATGGTATAGTAAACGTTGTCAGTGAACAGCTCAGCCGAAAGGAAAATGCCAAAACTATTGATGAATTAGATCAGTCGGGACTTGCTATGCTCCATCATGCAGCCCGTTATGATCGAGTTCACGTCGCTAAATCGTTGCTGGAGCACCACGCACGTATCGATGTTCCAACCAGAGAAGAAAACCTTACACCGCTTCACATCGCTGCAAGGTAAGTTTCCTTTTCATTTGCAAGAGTATTTGATGAATAATTTCATGTGTCTTGCAAACTGTTCAGAATTATTCATTTCTGTAATTTGAGAAAGTAAGTACTGCTGGGTTTTTTTTTAAATTTCAAATGAGGTCACGCATTTTATAAAAAGTAGATGTGGATTTGCGATTCTTGTCAGCATCGAAAGCATACAAGTTAAATCGCTAAATGCACTAAGCATATTACTTCATTCCCAATGTCTATCTTTTATCTGAGAAAGCTCACATTTATAATGCACGCAAGAAACAATTAGAAGACACGAAATTTATGAAAACAAATTAGTTTCCACTTGAGGTATTGTTGACACGTTTTCGACACTACGTAAAGTGTATGTGCAGCGTTCCAACTTCCTCAGATGCATCCTTGACGACAGCATTTCGCCGTCAAATACTGGTTGCTGAAAGCAATAAATATAGACGAAATTTGCGGCGATCACAAAAGAACTACTTTAATTTCATGCGTTTTAAGTTTATGGACAGATTAAACCGGGGAACAAATACAACGATGGCTATTTAAAAAAATGCTCATTTGTATTATCAACGATAATTAATAGTATTTAAGAAGGTAGATACTAAAGAACATGAATTCCCGCGTTAAAAAACAACAAGCAAAAAAAACATTGAGACAGCCAAACAAAGCGAAGCACTGGAGCGGAGAAGTTCACAGAGGGAAAAGAATTCCATTTACATCCAGAGTGGAAATATTGCCAAAATCTGTTTGCACATTCGTTTTAAGGAACACTTTGTAGTCGTTTGAACTACAGGTGGAAAATTTCAAGACGATTTCAGATTTTGATTTGATTGTTTTTAGTACGATGCTATGCTTGGGGTCTTCAGATGAGACACTTACCTCGTCTGCATTCCAGGCTATTGATCTAATTTTGGTATTTCGACACTTGAAAGTTTATAATAAATTTACCCTCTGGACGTAACGGTATTAACAGTTGTACAGCTTGTTTGGTCTACTTGTTCACAGCGTTCGACCCAGTTACTGTATATTCGGGCTCAGGCGAAATTTATGAACAATTCGGTTCTGCGTCTTAGATAACTTAGGTCCCAACGACGTAATTAGTATCTCCTACGGGATTAGAATCTTCGTATGTTATAGTGACAGTTCCTTCTGGGGGGCTACTTATATTACAACCCTGTCAACAAAAATTGTCATCTCTCTTGCACAGATTCAATTGCACGGCAACCGTTCAGTTGTTGATTGAAAGAGGTGCCAACCCCGCTTTGGCATCAAAAAATGGTAACACGGCGTTACACTTCGCAGCACGCCGGGGGAATGATCAGGTGGCAAAGCTTTTGTTACGTCATGCCAAAGTTGACGTCAATTCGAAGGACTCCTCTCATATGACTCCACTACACTTGGCCTGTGTTAGTGGAAACATGGCCATTTCAAAGATGCTTCTTGAAGAGGGGGCAGATATACGGGCTAAATCGACGGAGCTAATGACCCCTCTTCATACTGCAGTGTACAACGGCAACTCCGCAATAGCTTCTCTTATTTTGCAAACTGGTGAGTAGAAAACAGCAACGGCTTTGCGATGGATAGACTGATATGAAGAGTCTGCGTTCCTTAGGCTATATTTACTGACACACATACTCGATAAACATTCCATTTACTTTTTTAAGTCTCTAGTGTCTTAAAAACACCTTGTAGGTGACAAGCAAATTTTTTTTCAAGAAGTAAACTAGCATAGCAAGATCGTTCACTCAATTTACAATTTACAGCAATTGGTGAACAAAACCCACACGCACACACAAAATTAACTCGACTCGACATCTCGCTAAAAATGCCATTTCACAAAAATTCCTTCGGTGCTTATTTCGTCTTCCATTGTAATAAACCATTCCATGGTTTGATCAGAAAGCTACACTCTCATCCCAGAATCAAATCCAATTTTTTTTTACTGCAAGCGATAAAGCTGCAGACCTAAAGAGGATATTTACGATTTGAAATTGAGCAAACAGATGACAATAAACGATATGCGATTAACTTCCTCTTTTAAGTATGCGAATCATTCTCATTGAAACGTATTTCTTTCAGCCACTGAGAGGAGACAAAATATCACTGAGCTTGTGGAAGACCGAGATATAAATAATAACACAGTCTTACATCTAGCAGCTGGAGCAAATGATCTCAAAACAGCGATGGTGTGTCTGCAAAACGGGGCAGACATAAACGCGCTCAAATCGAATAATGAGACATCTTTGTACGTGGCAACAGTGAAAGGAAACTTGCAGATGGTAAAATTATTGTTACAGAAAGGAGCTGATGTAAATATTAAAAATGCTGACTCCAAAACTGTTCTTCACAGGTAAACAGATAATTACTCTTTAACTGAGTCTTTGAAGTATCCCATGAAATGTTTATCTCAAGCCGTCTTACATGAAATTGACATCTCGAAAGTGTTAATCTTTGGAGGTTGCTGAACCGCAATTTATTTATGAGCACAATGAACTGTCCAATGTGCTTTTTTCTCATCTCTTCTTGTTTGTTGCGCTTGTATATCCATGCCATTTCCACGCGTAATTTGCGATGACGACTCGATCACCTAATCTTCCTAATCATAAAAGTAGCCTGTAATCTGGTTTTAAGAGACTTTTCTGCCGGATGAGAAAGTTTGTCATCTAGCTTTGCAAGACCTTCAACTGCACCTAAATTATTTCCATTCCTTGTTTCGATTTCATTTCACGTCCATATTAGTAACTGAAAAGATTTAGGGTCAAGTGATTGTTCAATGCAAAATTGCTTTTAATAGGAAGAATATTTGTGTCCAATTACTTTTTAGAGCGGCTGTGTTCAACCGTGATGACATCATTTCCTTTCTTCTCGATAACGGAGTAGGTTTTGACACACGTGATGCACAAAGCAATACGCCTTTCCTAGATGCAGTAGCGGCTGGTCAGACAAGGTGTGCTCGAGTGCTTCTTCAAAGGGGAGCTGACGTCAAAGCATCTGACATCTTCATGAAGAACTGTATTCACCTGGCAGTGGAGAACGAAAATTTGGAAACACTTCAAATGCTCCTGGAGGAAAATTCTGTCTTATCCAACCTTTACAGGCCAGATGTCAACGAGAGAGTTCCGTTGCATTATGCAGCTACGGTGAAAGACATCAGGGTATGTATGGCAATTGTTATCCAGATATTCTTTTAATTATCAATCGTGGGCTACTTTTTGAGAGGCCAAATTAGAAAAAAGATACACGTGAAAGCAAGTCTGCAAGAAACTCATTGTAGTCCTTCCGGCTTACCATGTCAGTGGGACAAACGGGAACAAATTTAAATCAGAGAGAAGAATTAAGTCTTAAAACTGCGATGAAACTGCACTCACTTTTCTTCAAACCAGATAATGGGTGCACTTTTGGACAAACAAACACGGTTCACTTTCCACGATGAAACGCAGCAAACTCCCCTCCACCTTGCTGCTCAGTATGGAATGTATGAACAGGTGGAAGCACTGGCTCGTCGAATAGCCTCTGGACTGAATGACCGGGACGAAAAAGGAAGAACCCCACTTCATTATGCAGTCATGAGTGGTCACAGGTAAAAAAAAAAAAAAAAAAAAGTAGTAAAAACATGCCCGATTGTTGGGAAGCGATGTGGCTAGAGTTAGAGCACAATATCTTGATATGGAATTCTCAACTGTTTCTATACAATATCGACCATTTAATCTGTCATTCCAAACAGTTAATCAACTTATCCACTTTCTTTTGGACTCTTTCTTGTTTCATGGAGACAAAATTATTTGTGGAGAAAAACCACTTCATAAAAAAAAAAAGTTGTTGGATTTTTACTTACACATTTCACCTCGTAACTCCATGCTATCTCTGGAATGTATTTGACAAATAGCCTTTGTCTTATTTTAATGCAGGAAAGTTTGTCACACTTTTTTGAAACTTGGAGCGGACGTTAGCACCAAAGACAACGACTCCTGGACACCATTGATGTGGGCGTCAAGCCTGGGCTGGGCAAAATCATGTCAAGAGTTGCTCGATATGCAAGCATCTCCGGATGACGTCAACAGTGAGGGTGACACTGCATTGCATATTGCTTGTAAACAAGGTCACATCGGCATTGTAAACTTGCTGATGGAAAATGGGGCAAGTTTAACTGTTTGCAACACCCAGGGGCTCACGTGTTTAGAAGTTGCAGTTCGAACAGGGAACAGCGATGTAGCCATGGCTATGGTAAAAAACTCAAGGTATGCTCTTTCCATTTGCGCTTACAATCATAACCTATTACTCTTCTCTAAGTATAAACCTTTGGGATTTCTTTAAGTGTAAGTTATGCTTATCGAATCGTCTAAGTGGGAAGTTTAGAGAGTATTAATGATCTAGCAGTCGTGAGGGAGTCTTGGTGTTCACACACTCGAGTGGGTTTCTTATGCGAAAGCGGTCACCGTGTAGAACTTAAAGGCAGAATTTTGGAGCATCAACATCGACTTTTTTGATAATTGATATCGATAAAAATAGTTCTTTTCCACCAAGGAACAATCCTGCTTAATTTCACTTCTATGTTGGGTAATTTTCCCATCTGACAACTGAGAAATAAACTTTGTGCATTTTATTTTAATCAATTTACAAGCGAAGCTAAAGAAGAACTGACTAGACTTGCATAAATTTGCGACTTTCACAGATGGTCAGAAATAATGGAGCATAAGGACATGCAGGGCCATACACCAATGAGGCTGCTGATAGAGCACTTCCCAGACAGTGCAGAGCTGCTGATGGACAGATGTATCGTGCGATCGGAAATGACAAACACAAACGATCCGCAGTTCTCTATTACCTATGACTTTCGCCTCCTTGACCCAGGTCCGGATGATCCGGCTTTTGTGCACGGGAGACGTTTTTTCGGACCCATCACCATGGTGAAACATGAACAAAAGAAACTGCTTCTTCACCCACTAACACAGGCGCTCTTGAATCAAAAGTGGTCAAAATTTGGTCGATTCATATACTACTTAAACTTTTTTTCATACTTGATCTTTGTTGGTCTCTACTCGGCTTTCATCATCAACGTAAGGGAACTGCAGACGTTTTCAAACGTCGAAGTTTGCGATGAAGATGAGGAATCTAGTGGAGATCTTTTGTATTGTGAACCGGCGTCGGATATTTATGACACAGTGACGGATTTCAGCAAAGGATTCTCGTATGTAATATTTGGTATCGCAATTGTCCATCTTGTAAAAGAGATTTTACAGATTCTGATACAGAGATTTAGGTACTTCACGGATTTAAGCAATCTACTGGAATGGGCGCTGTACGGGACCACCTTCGCTTTCCTGTTGCCATATGTCTTGCCCGATATAGTCATCGATGATTGGTTCAGCAAAATGACAGATCCTTTCCTTATTTGGCAAGTTGGCGTCACCTCAATATTCCTCTGTTACGCAAACTTGGTTTTGTTTCTCCGTCGGTTTCGTATGTTTGGAATTTACGTCACCATGTTTGTGGAGGTCACAAAGACAGTTTTTAAAGTCCTACTGGTCTTCCTCATCTTTATCTTTGGTTTTACAATTGTTTTCTACGTCCTCTTCAAAGAGCTGGTAAGATAATGCAACACAAACTGATGACATTTTGATTGAGTAATAAAAAGCCAAAGTCAGAGAAAATCAAAGAAAGCGAAAAAAAAAACCGCAAAGGGACGAATAGTACTTAAAATTCATACAGGCAAAACTAAGAGCCTGTAGGACGAAAATGTACTAGTTATCAAGAGATAAATGGCTCTCGCTTTGTATCCGATTGTCTGGTAGTTGCTTGAAGTTATTACCTCACTCACTCACCGATTGATTCACTCACTCATCCACTAATTCACTCACTGATTTGTTCATTGATTGATTGATTGACTGATTGATTAACTGATTGATTAACTGACTGATTTATTCATTCAATCATCATCCCTCATTTACCTATTTTGAACACTTGAAGCCTTTCAATCGTTCATTCCTCTGTCATTAATTCAGTCACTCAGTCACTCATAATCCCGTGCTTTCGTTATTTAATTTATCTATTTAACGAAATATTTCATTTTCGTCTTTCTTTTCACATTATCTCTCTATCCATTTATGTATTTATTTATTCATTCATCTAATATATACTCATTTTCTTGCCACAGGATTCCTTTAAAAATCCAGGTATCGCCTTCATAAAGGTGATAGTGATGATGATTGGAGAGCTTGAATTCGATGACACCTTCGTTGAGACTATCGGGAAAAATACCACGACTGGGGCACGAAAGAATCCCTTTCCTGAAACTTCCTTTATATTCCTTACTTTATTTGTACTTCTGATGGGCATCGTTTTGATGAACCTGTTGGTAAGTCATACTTTCTTTTAAATTCAGTTTTGAAAATTTTCGTATCATTTAATGTTTTCCATTTTTTTTTTTCACTTCAGTTTCCTTTGACAATTTCTAAGTAAAGTGAAAATTAAAGCGATAAAATCAGTGAGCGCTTGTTTGAATCAATGAGCATAGATATCTATAAAGCAACCCGCAAAATTAAAGGCCTTAAACTAAGACTCGAAAGAACTTTATATCAACTAAATGTGATGTTTCGAAAGTCTTTAAATCACTAGAATCAGAAAAGAGCTGTTAAAGTTTTACTCTTTAGAACAATCTATTACTCGAGCTTCAGTGGCGCAGAGTACAAAGTACAGTGAGACGTTCATAGCCTTTACACTTTACCCTTTTAGAATTCATAAAAGTGAAGAAAATAAATTTGCGATGATGTGTATCTATTTTACCGTCAACCCGTGTACTTATCTAGCTCCTAAGTAAGACATCCTCGTGGATTTTTCCCCTGCACTTCTACCATTGATGAATTCTCATACAGTGGTCAATTCAGTTTTAGCTTCCGGGCTGAAGATGGAAAAAGTCCAACTCTTCCTTGCGTTTTGCTGCTATAACTTTATGTATGGGATTAACATTCGTGGATTTTCGTGATATATGTTTATTTTCTCGTTCAGGTTGGTCTTGCTGTGGGAGATATTGATACCATTCAACAGAGTGCCACTCTAAAAAGGTTGGCCATGCAAGTTGAGTTTGTAGCAGAGATTGAGCAAAGCTATCCACGGTTCTTCACAAGGCAACTGTACCATCCAACTGTAACTTTGAGACCTAATCGATCCAGTCGCTTGAGAAGGTATGAGCAATTACACGAACAATCTCGTACGCTCCGACAAATAGGAAAAAGGTTGAGACCAACCTTGGAAAATTCAAATTTTTTTCATCTAACCCTCGGGAGACATTGACATTAAACTATCCCATAACTACAATATCAGCTCGACTGACTTGAAGCTATGGGTTATGTGTGTGACATTGACAATGACACCTGTTTGACTTCCACCACCAAGTCTAGTATTCTATGCTGGCACTGTGTTCACTCGTTCAAATTAATAGTAAATGACCGAGGGAAGTTTTCTGTATTGATAATTGTGAAGCGTCCCGCGTGTTTTTCTTCTAAGAAATACAAATACCGCAATTTCAGGTTGATGGCTCTCCTTGGGTTAACAAGGTATGCAAAACCCAGCCGTGGCCCTCCTGATAACGAAGAAGAATCTAAGGCCTCCGAGTATACTGAAGTACGGAAGCAGCTCGACAAAACTAAAAAACGCGTCAAGGCGTTGGTGAATGTGATTGAGGTTCAGAACGCATTATTGCGACGATTGGCCATAAAGATTGATCCCGATGCTGAGATGGAAATAGATGAGATTAGACCCACTCTGGGTGACGAGCGGGTAGCGTTAGGCGAGGATATGTTCGATGGACAGCCGCCAAATGAGACCACCACTGAAACTCCCCATTTTGAGTCACACATAACGGCTTGCTGATACTTTCAGCTGCTCGCTCAAATTTGCACCACTTGACAGGTCTCGTGGGTATGTTCACTTGCAAAATCGGTGCCGTAATTGGATTTGTGCAACTTGAGTAAACATAATATTCAGCAATTTTGACTAATCAAAAACTCTTCCGTTGGCTCACATGTTAAGGTTAATCATCTGCTACTTGCAATGTCGTCTAAAGAAACAATTGAAGTACTGGCTTGGTCAAAGAAAGAAGAGTATCCATGTATTAAAAAGGCCTCAAGAGAACAAGACAGAGACCTAAGAATGAACTGAAAGAATAATTTTTTAGATCTTTATTTTAATTCTTCCCACTGTTATGACCACGTGGAGCTTCATATCCGTCTGACTGGCACAGATGTTTAAACCGCTGCAAATGTTTCCCGCGAAATATTTTCCTAGGATAAAAATACAACAACAAACGCCGCGACAAACCAACTACGAAGTATTTTTTTTACAAGTATTTGACAATTACTATTGTATAAAAAAAGCAATTATTTTATAACATCGCACTTGGAAATGGTTCTTCAGTAAAGCACATAGACAAAGCTGCTAATGCTCACCTTGTATTCTCAAACTGGTTGTGAATAATCAGTAAGTCGAAATTACCCCTTTTATGTTTATTCGCACGGTTGACTTACAGTTTAGTTTTCATTGATAAATACAAATTTTGTACTTTGATAATCTACTAAACAGGGATGATGTACGATGTTAACAAAAGTCAGTGTCATCGTAAAACAAAGCTTTATCTTTATTAAATTGGCTTTTCTCCGTTGTCAAAAAGGAAATGTCCCTGTGATATCTAATTTTTTAGAGTAAAAGTGCTAAATAGAGTGATTTGAAGGTGGGCGATTATTACCAAGCCTATGTTTTAAACCTTTTATACTACATAGGTAGCTAGTGCTTTTTGCGCGCGCTGATTGGCTAATTCGGAAGTAAATAGCAAGTACTTTTCGCCTCCGAGCAGCCGAAGAAATATAATAAAGCGTCAAGAGTTTCAATTCCGACCATTTTTCGGTATATTGAACGACATAAACTATTTTTAGGTATTTGTGTGGTATATACTAAAACAGTTAAAACCTGAGTGTCGGTAAAAGAGGTGAATATCCACAATTTTTTACCTCCACTTTGGTAATAATTGTTAATTTTATCAGTGCTGGGATGAAGCATGTTTGCAGTTGGCTATTTTTCCTTTTTTGTAAAAATTATCCCTTTGTTAAATCGTTTTGTAGAAAAAGAAGGGCTAAGGCTAATTTAAATAAAAGCGATTAATTCCCCTGGTTCTGTCTACTTGTTTGTTAGTTGGTTGGTTTGTTTAATTGTTTTTATGACTGTTTCCTGTCGCCCGGCTGTTGCTACGTAATTGAAAATGGATTTCCCAGCATTCTTTGCTTGACCATTGTTTGATATTCAATAGATTACTTTTTGAACGAGATTCGTCTCGTCTCCGAGTCATAATAGAGCAACCACAGCAACGGCGTCTTAGAGCAATGATCTTTATGTCAGGAATTAAAGTAAATGAGGCATATCCATGAGACTTAGAGTAAAACAAAACAAGTAAATCTGAGTGGATTCACCAAAACATACCACCCCCCCCCCACACACACACACACACACACACACACAACAGCCACAAGGCATGAGCCTTACTATCAATATGGGGGACGGTCCAAAACAACAATAGGCTAAAAAGACCTCTCCAAAGATGTCCACTTTTTACTCCTTGACTGATGAGTCAAAAGCCTTCCCTTCCCACCCCTAAACTTTTGATATAGATCCACTTGCAATCCACGCTCAAATGGGCCATTGACTAGGCTGCATGTAGGTACTAGCCTTGCGTTTTAATAAGAGAAATAGAGATCTGCCACTATCCATCTCCACATCGTTAAATAATTGTTAATCATCGGGTATTGTGGGGCTAAAATGTATTATAGTTCGCTCTCAAGCGCGCATGATTATTCAACCTGTTTGCCCTCATTTTGTCTTTCAGTTTTTACTTTGCCAATGCCCTCATAAGTGATAGTTATAGCAATATAGTTTAAAAATACTACTAGTTCAATAATAGTATATATTCGCTTTGTCAAAGGGCTAACGCTAGAAACGTTAGCTTTGAAGCTCTTTACAGTGGCCAATTTACATCACCAACTCAGTTGATAAAACCAAAATTATCTTGTTATACTCCCTCTCAGACGCAGCACAACAGTTTCCTATAGAAACTTACCCCTTCATGTTATTATGGCCCGACTCTGAGGGGGGCCAAAACATATTTATGCAGGCTAAAACAAACTATATTATCATATGAAACGAAAACGTCACTGCCAGTAGAAAAATTTGAGGCACGCGGTATTTAGCATGAGAACTGTACGCTGACATTGATGCAGATTAAGTTCATTATTATTTGTGATAACTTTATGGAGGAAGGAAAACACTTCAAAGAGATTACAACAACGAAGAATTTAATCTCCACGCTGAGGTGCACCTCTTACAACTAAAAAAACAGAACAATTGTAAAATATAAAATTGAATCTGTGGGGAACAAATGTAGGCTAAGAATGAAATCATTTAATTGAAACAAAGTAATTAATCTGGTGGTCATATTAACGCGTAGCGTCGTAGGCGGAGTGACGTTCGTATTGTATTGTAATAAATTGTGTCATCTCATGCTAATTTGAGGTTTGTTGAAATAAGTTCCAGTTCATTTCTCTATAAATATTACTATGCCGGAAACGTAAAATGTTGTAATTCAGTGCAATCTTAAAGATAGACCTTTCCATTGGGTATGGTGAGGCTGCACGATGAATTCCACGACGACGTTCGAGTACACCGACTCGCCTTTCTTGGGTCGACATAACACAGTAGTCAGCAAAGCGGACTTACTTGAAGGCGACTTCGAACTCACGCAGTTCAAGTTAGCGGCCCCATCAGATCGAACGCAAGAAATCCGCGAAATCATCCAAGACGGGAAAGTAGCCGAATTGAAAGATTATCTGTCGGAGAATAAGAACGTTAAGCTGATAAACGATTTGGATGATCATGGTTTCTCTCTGCTACATGTATCAGTGCGATGGAATCGAGTCGAGATGACACGAATATTGATCGATCATGGAGCTGAAGTCGACATTCGTTTAAAAAACTCATCAACACCCTTACATGTTGCGGCGAGGTAAGAAAAAGTATTGTGATTGATTTGAAGAACAGGTGATATTATTGATTCGAATTGTTTGAACAGTTTGAATTGTAATTCATGTAGATTTGATCTCAGTTATTATTAGAGAGCACCTTTCACGGGTGAACTTTTGATTCATTTTCATAACAGTGACAAAACCTATCAGTCCCGAAGCAGATTTTTTAGAAGTAGAAAGGGATCCGTCTTCGGAAAGTATCTGAGGATAAATCTTTTTTCCATTAGTAGAGCTCATTCGTGACTCAGAGCGATATCTACAATGATTATCTAAAAGAACCCAGGCATGAATGAAAACAGAATGGTTCTCTTAACAACATTCTTTTATTATGTTTATTTTTTTCATCCTAAAAACCGTTTATTAAAACATGTTCCGTAGTAATTAAGTACTATAAAGGGTGAGAGTGCCATCCACAGTCTAATTTACTTCTCATTACTATTCAAAGCCAAGTTAACTTGTCAGCGAACGCAGAGTACTCCCATCATTTTCCTGTATGCCTTACATAGATTGAGGGTCACGTCACCTAAATTAAGAATAACATACACTCAATTAATGAATCATTCACAATTTTTTTGGAATGAGCCAAAAACAAAAGAAAAATAAATGAAATTAATAAAAATCTGAGTTCTCCAGAATGATTCGAATCGTTAGTGCACTTCCGATTTCTTCAGATCGGAATCTAACAAAAAAAAAAATATGGATCAGAAATCGCATGATCATGACTTCATTTCATTACACTGATGTTTTAAGACGTTCTCATAATACGAGCCATAGATAAGTGCAATTTTAGAACCTTACAAAACTTAATAAGTAACCACGTGAAAACAATTTTTGCATGGCTACCTATCCTCCAAATTCCACTCGTGCTTCTGTGAAGCGACGTAAACGTAGGAAGTGTCCTTCAATATAGCTCATACTGGTTTCTCCTTCGTAAATGGCCATTTGTAGGTTTAACTGCCCTGAAGTTGCTGAAGTTCTCCTCAGTTCTGGCGCCCGCCCATCACTAGTTGACTCTTTGAACAACAACGCCCTGCATCACGCAGTGCGAAGACGCAATAAAGAAATGGTGTACATGCTGGTGCGAGACACAGATATCGACGTAAACGCCAAGACACAGGTTGGGCTGACTGCCTTGCATCTAGTCTGCATCAACGGTGATCAAGAAATTTGCCAAACCTTGCTGCGTCACGGGGCGGACATTACAGCGAAGACCGCTGAACTTAGCACCCCATTGCAGGTTGCTATATTCAGTTGTAACACAAGTCTTGCGGAGATGCTGATTAAACAAGGTTGGCTTGGAACCCTTTTTTCGTTATGTAACAATTTTAGACTGCGTGTAGATAGAAGCCTAAAGTAAAGTTTCCAGTTTGGTGCTCTGTAACGCCGTTTTGTGAGAAGTCATATTAAGCAAAGCTTTTCCCACGAACAAGCTACAGGAAATCATTTTGAAGGAGTCTGTTCACAGACCTTTTGAATGAATTTTTCTTTGATAATCGTCTTGAGTGCAAGCGAGATAAGAGCCGTAGGGGATTTATACAATCTCTCAAAGGCATTTCCCTTCCAATATTGGAAAGGCGGAAGAGCCGTGAGGACGAAGTCTATCACGTTTTCCATCCCCTTTAAATCAGAGAGTATCTCAGACCACTATACACACACAAGGATCCACAAGGATCACAGTCACCTTATTATGGCATTTTTGTCCTTTTTAGCTTCATCGCAACTCCTTGATGTTAAAGAATTTCTCAATGAGCCTGATGTGGACCAGGATTGCGCTTTGCATTTGGCAGCGGAAAGTAGAAACGTGAAGTCGGTGGAACTGTGTTTAAAATACGGCGCTAACGTCAACGCTCAGAGAAGTAGCTTGATGACACCCCTTCATATTGCATCAATGAGAGGTGACCTAGAAATAGTGAAAATTCTGTGTGGAAAAGGAGCTGATATACACATAAAAGACAACGAGAAGAAAACTTCATTACATAGGTAGGATACTCGAGTGACGCACCGCGTCCTACCAAAACTTTCGTCAAGCTTGGTATTGATTCCGTCGTCCTCAAACAGCATATTCTCTTCATCTCAAGAAAAATTAACTTGATCTGTAAAAGGTGGTACTCGACACGCGCAATCGTTTATCTAACTGAGACCAATTGTAATAACGTGTTGAAATTTCCTTTTCCTTCCCGTGTGATTATGTTCTCCTTTTTTCAACTGCTTTACTTCTTTACCTCCATAACCCATGCGTATTCATAAGACTTTCATTACTTAGGCTAAAAATTAAAAAGTGGAATGCTCTTTTCTTACGCATGTGTATCCCTTTATCGTAACATAGGGCAGCCTATGAGAATCGTACCGAGGTTATCAAGTTCCTCATCAGTTTGGGCGCCCCACTTGACAGTAAAGCCAATGACAATCGCACGCCTTTCCTAGAGGCAGTGGTTGCTGGCAGTGTGGAAAGCGCTCGGCTCCTCCTTGATTCTGGTGCAGACGCGTTCGCTAGCACGTCAGAAATGAAGAACTGCCTACATCTGGCGGTCGACAATGGCCATCTGGAAATGGTACAACTTCTTCTGGAGAATAAGAAAGCTAAAGAAAATCTATACAAATCAGACACATTTGAACGAGTTCCTCTTCACAATGCAGCTATTTATCCTGATATTAAGGTATTCTGGTTCGGGTAAAGTCCAGTAATTAACAATAAAAGCTGTTTACAAGATCCTTAAGAGACTCGCAAGTTTGAGAAAGGCAGTGAGCATGATTTCCTGTTCTGCTTATTTTCGGCGCTAATTTTTCCACCCATCCTGCTTCCAGAGATCTCATTTCATCTCAGTTCAACCAAAGTGGATGAACTTAAGTCATCGAAAAGTTTACCATGAGAGAGGGCAAGTTTTCATCAAAAATTGCCCACCCTTTTCCACTCTTCTCGCTTCGTGATCTAAATATGCTATAACTAAAAAGAAAATAAATATTGACCCAAATTTTTAGGTACGGTTCACATCAAATTAACAGCCTACGTAAAATATACGATATAACTGCTTCTTTACTCAATTGCATTTTAGACTATCATTGAGAAAATGTTTATTACGTTTTCAGATTCTGGAACTCCTATTAACTAAGTATTCCCGAGCGTGTTTTCAAGACCAGCTTCAGCAGACACCACTTCATCTTTCTGCTCAAAGCGGCCGATTCGCACATATCGAGGCCTTGGGTAGAGCCATGGCCGGCATCAATGAAAGAGATGATGATGGAATGACACCCATTCACTTAGCGGCAATGAAAGGAAACAGGTAAAAACGACCCTGAACAATCGTCTTTGCAATGGCTTAATTCAAGAAGACAAGAAGAACTACAGCGAAAGTAAGGTTAAGGATATTCGTTTAGAGTGATGATGACCATTATATCGGTCTGGAGGTAAACAATCTAGTAGCTTATTTTTTGTCTTGGTTATTTAGAGATGACGGGCCAGTCTTTTCTTATTCATGGCCAGCAAACTGGCGGGGAAGGTCAATAATTCCACCAAATGACTACGTGAAGATGATTAGTTTTAATATGGAAACGCGATCGAGTTCTTTCTAATTTGTATAAAAGCTACTCGTACAAGCATTCACGTGACGTTTTATGGCTGAATTTTCGGACCATGCTTTGGGAGTTGCTTGTAGAATGAGAAGTTGATACTTGTGGCCTTGTAGGTTCCGCGCGTTTGGTATAGACTTTGATGTTTTTGTTTCTCCTGTTAAAACAGGAAGGCCTGTCAGGTACTTGTTCGCCTCGGTGCTGATGTCAACGCGAGGGACAACGATCGCTGGTCACCTTTGATGTGGGCGGCGAGATCAGGATGTGAAAAAACCTCCCAGGAGCTCATAAAAAAGAAAGCTGTTCTTGATCACTTCAACAATTCGGGAAACACTCCTTTGCACATTGCATCATCGCATGGCAATGTCAGAGTGATGGAACTGCTGTTAAGTTCTGGTGCCAAGGTGTGCGTGCAAAATAATCTGGGGCAGACATGTCTAGATGTGGCAGTGCGTTCTGGTGCAGGTGATGTGGCTCTAATGATGGCTCAGCACCGAAGGTTGGTAGTAACATCCGCAGGCAATCACCTTTCGTAAGATACTGAACAACCCTGCTAAGGGAATCCTTCCCCAACGTGCAACGAATATGCCTTATCACAAGGAACATGATCATGGTGGCAGGCGTAGTGACTACAATAAAGAAAAAAAGATGGAAACGTTTTTCTAACTCTCTCCATTACTATTTTTCACCAGATGGCGAGAAATTCTGGATTGTCGCAGCCCAAACCACAACTCACCCATGAAAATATTGATAGAACATTTCCCTGAGGCTGCCAGTCTTGTCATGGATCATTGTATCAAACGCTCGTCTCACATTCGAACAGATCCGAACTACACAGAGTCTTACGATTTCCATCTTCTCGACCCGGGTCCTGATGACGAGGCAGACCTAAATGGAAACCGTTTCTTCGGTCCCAAGACGATGGTAAAATTTAACCGTGAAGATCTTCTTCTGCATCCCCTAACGCAGAAACTATTAGATGTAAAATGGGCTTCATTCGGAAGATATATATACTACTTCAATCTCATAGCCTATTTGGTATTCCTGATAACGTATACCATATTCATTGTCACGGAAAGAGAAGCTCAAGATTTCAATCCACGTAAAAGCGAGAATGGAACTGAGAAAGTAAAAGCGTCAGAGATTTTTACCAGGGCAACTGCTTTTAATGGGGCGGTGTTGTTCGTCGCTTTGATATTTGCAGCTGTCCACATTGCCAAAGAAATTTTTCAGCTCTTCGTCCAAAGGCGTCGTTACTTCACCGACGCTTCAAACATGACAGAATGGGCTCTGTACTTGTCAACACTCCTTTTCATATTGCCTTACTTATTGAGACCCGAAGAATTAGACGAATCTCTCGGCAGCTTCAAAAATCCACGGAATTTATGGATTGCTGGAATTATCTCCATCTTCCTGTGCTACGTTAATGTGATTTTATTCCTGAGACGATTTCAGCCTTTTGGAATTTACGTTTCTATGTTTTTAGAGGTCTTCAAGACAGTGGCAAGAGTGTTTGTGGTCTTCTTCATATTCATCATTGCATTCGCCATAGTCTTCTTTATCCTCTTTAAAGAGCAGGTACAAGACATAAAGCTTGTTCGAGGTTAAAAAACTGAAAGGGTAAATGCCATGCATTACCTTTCTATAGGTTACAATTCCGCATCAGTCAAGTCAGTGGCTCGAGTTTCAAAACAAGTCACATATAGATAAATGTAGCAAAGCCAAAGCTATAATTGAATGCTTCATGATTCAAAACCAATTCTATTTTAATTGCATTTCAGGAATCGTTTAGTACACTTGGGTTGTCCATCGTCAAAGTGTCCGTTATGATGGTGGGGGAGTTTGAGTACGATACTGCGTTCATAAGTAGCATCGACGAAAGTAATGACGAAACAAGAAATCCTCTGAATCCATTTCCAGAGATAGCACTCATCTTCATGTTCGCCTTTCTCTTCCTAATGGCGATTATACTTATGAACCTCCTGGTAAGAAAGTAGTGCTCTGTAATCTCTAGTGCAGGCCATGTTTTAACGCCGTCCAACTTTTCTGAAAACCGTTATTTGCCAAAAATCTTTGACTCTCGAAGCGGAATACACGGTTGTCTATGATCCAGCCGCCTGAATTCCAGATCAATATGTCCAGGTTCGAGTTCTGACCGGATCATGGTGGCTTGCTCTCAGGAAAGACTACGTTAAAGATGTGTTATCCCTCTCAGTCAAGTTATCGAATTGCTGGACTACGATTGAACTACAATTGAAGCTTCTTTATCACTCTTTATCCTACAGACATTAAAATAAGCGTCTTCTTTAACGACTCAACATGTTTGTCAAGCTTATCCCTTTAACTCCCAGAAGTGACTAATATGTAATTTCTCCCTACAATTTCCACACTTCTTTTAGCAACCGGTTAATGAGAAAAGTCATACTTATCCGGTAGAAGTTGCTATCTTGAGCTTTCACCAAATTTCGCAACTAATTTACAAGGAATTATGTAGCTGCAAGAGGGGAGAATTAACAATCAGATCTTGGGAGTTAAAGGGTTAACCCTTGATTGAGAACTTCTTTCATTTGTCTCTCAGGTTGGTTTAGCGGTGGGTGATATCGAATCTGTGCAAAGGACCGCCACCCTTCAGCGCATGGCAATGCAGGTTTCCTTTGTGGCCGAAGTCGAAAACAAGTACCCAAGATTTATTACGCGTAGAATTTACAAGCCATCATTGGAGATAAAACCAAACGTATATAGAGGCAAATTTAAGTTAGTCATTCGTTATGTTTCATTTTATCACTTGCACAAAAAATTTCCTCCAGAGTTGTTTAACTGTGTGATCATGACAAAACATTTTCTTTCTTTCTTTCTTTGTTTATCAGGAGTTTTCACGCCTGGTTGAAAGGCCAAGGGAGACTTTTCGACGAATCATCATCCTTAACGTCTTCAGCAGCGATGACAGAAACGACCATATCCGACATTCAACAGCAAGTAAGCAAGACAAAGAAACGTGTGAAGACCTTGATACGAACAGTGGAACTTCAAAATCGACTGTTAGCGACCATCGCCAGACAAATGAATCTAAATGTCGAAATGGACGACTTGAATGTTGGGCACTGGGTAAAGCCGCAATCGACATATGACGAGAAAAGTGAGGAGGAAAAAGACGACACTGTATATCATTTGGCAAGACTGTAGCCTGTCAAGCGCTTTGCTAGTGATGAATAAATCAGTGCTTCAAAATAATCGTTTTAATGCTCTAATCCACCTGCACGGAATTGACACATTTCCCGATTCTGAAAGGTGGTAGTTTATTTAGCCTGGTGCAAACAGCGGATGAGAGATAGGTCTGATTTAGAAAGCCTTCCCCAATCTTGAGACGTAATAAAATAATTACATATTTTCCATTTCAATTTTTTAAACATTCACATCGCACAATTACTTTGGTACTTCACAAAATTTCTTGTTCAGTCGTTTTCGCTGTCATTTAGAACGGTTTCTTTGCGTCAAGATTTTCATCAACAAGTGGAGTTGTCAATTACAAATTATGAACTTAAACCAAAAACGAGAAAAGTTAACACTGACGTTGAGACATCATGAAGAAAATTTCACGACTAACCCCAAGGCAAATGACAAACATCAAATTTCTCTTTACATTATCAATGAATCAAACATTAAGGAACATGAGAATAAGGGAAATGATCGCCAGCTTTAGGAGCTCCTGATTGTCAAACAAATTCTCCCTGCCGGTAACATGGGTAATATACAGAGAGCAAGGAGAGAATATGCATATGGAAATAAGGGGGTAAAATATCAGGAAACACTTAGCGCACTCGAGTGTACTTTTCAAGCTGGCGAAATGAATTCAAATTTTGTTTATAATAATAATGATAATGATGATATAAAGTTAATGCCTCAGGTAATGCCCCAATAGGAGGTGCATTATGCAATAATTCATTGATAAACTGAGCTGAAGTATTTGTTAATCAAATAATACTCCATCATTACTTAAACATCAGCTTGACGACAAGGTGGTTCTCGCTGAACGTGCCATCAGCCACCCTCCCCTCTCGTTCCCTCTCTCTCGGTTTCTTGCGAAATTGTTTTCACACTCCTACACCCCTTTTTATTTCCTCTGCCAGCTCTGGGGCAATTTAAAGCTTCATTAGAGGGTTAGGGTAAGGGAATGGATGGGAATAAGAATGGAATGATCCTTATCAAGCATTCAACAATCAAAATAAATTTAAGAGAGAGATCGGGGTTTGCAATTAGTCGTAACAATGGCTGAGTTCCGGAAGTTGTAATTTTTAGTCAATTCTTTATTGTGATGTGCTCCAGCAGACATACCACTCCTAGCTAACTATACTGCTTATAGGAGTTATAGGCTCCTGAATTGTTCAGCACATCATTTGTCATAATAAGAATCGCATCACATAACTTGTCATAATCACTCAGCTCATTATAAACATGAGCAGAAATCCTAGTATGTAGTTTCCCTTGGATCAGTTTGACAGGAACCTCAATATTGAATTCATAATGAAGCTTGGCTTGCACCATTTCTGCATGAGCTTTCACAGCTTCCTCCTTTCCACCCTGTGTGACACAGTTCAGCAGTACCTCGGGGAGACGAATCATCACCATTGGACCAAACATGTGGGCATGAGAGAGCAAGCCTGTGCCCCATTTCTGTGCCAGCATGGTCGCAGCTTTGTGAGCTAACGTGTTGTTGAATTTGCGAATTCTCTCAGGGCTCATGGCCACCCAAAAGTCTAACACTAAGGGAAAGAACAGAGGTGGGAGGTATCTTTTTCATTTCTGTTCTTGGTCAAAATGTAGATTTTATAACTGATACTGCTGTTTGGACTGTAAATCAAAGGCCATTACCACCAAAACAATTTCACATATAACCACAGTGGAAGGTTTCCATCTGGGTCTGATTCTTGCATTTTTTTTTTTTGGTTCAAAGAGGCCAAACATGCAATATTTCATTACTCTAAGATACTTCACACCACATTCCCTGGAAACACCCAACATGTAGATCACCTAAAATGAACATGTAATCTACAGAAAGAAATTATGTGTTCAACAGCCAAACCCAGGAAATACATGAACAGCACGTACTTTTTGTAAGGCAAGTAGTTTAGCACTGCATGACAATTGTTCATTGAGAACAAGAGTAATACACACAAGGTAGGAGTAGGTATGTGTCATGGAAGACTCTTTTTTGTCTCTCCCACATGATTTTTCACCCTTTGTTTGCCAGTCCAAATTGTTCACATCTTGACATGTCTCAAACATTTCTCCTCAAGCCGACTATTTCAGTGCGAATGTCTTCCTTTCTAATAACCAAATCAGTGAAAGATGGCCAGAAAGGATACGTTGGAATAATTTGGAAATGTTTCATAATAACTATGTGAATCCTAAAATAATGTATAAATTAATTGCACCTAAATTGATCATTTAATACAAAAAAATAAGTTTAATTCTGAGGTAAAAAGAAGGGCTGCAGTTAAGTTTGTTTAAAGAAAACCCATAATTTACATTGAAATTGACCAGTTACACATCATTGTTGCAATACTCCAACAGATGCTAAAAAGAACTTCTCTTATTCAAAGTAAGATTTGGAAAAAATATTTTTAACAGATAAAAATTTAAATCATTACTCTCACCAGTATTTAAAGCCAAGTAGGGACTGTAATCTCTCAAACCTGTTGAAGAAAAGAAAAAATTATGGGAAAATTTTCACCACTTTTAACTCTGAGGTGGTAGAAGTTGAGGGAATGAGAAAACACTCTGATAGTTTGACTTTTTATTTTGTTTGTGATTTCTGATTGCTTCATTTTGTTGTTTTTTTTAAGTGATAAGAGATGTTCTCCTTTTCTGCCCATGTGGGAGGCAATTTCATCACAAGGTATGCATTCTCCCTCCCACCTTACCCTAACATTTTGTCTGGTTTCTCTGACAGTTAACTGGAACACATTTTCAACTATTCTTAAGGGAATGAAACACTGAATAGCCTGGACCTATTCATCCAGAGACAATCACTTTCAATAAAGGGATGCCACATCTCTCTCTTCCAATCCACAAGTAAAAAAAATCATGATGATGATAATTTGGGGTTTTTCAACAAAAGTTATACCTGTCCATATGAACTGTGAGTTAAATCCTGCTCCAAAACCACTTGAAACCACAAGAGGTTTGATCATTGGCTGATGCTTTTTAGAAACATGCAAGAATGCACAACCCTGCAAGAGAAGAAAGTGAATTCATTTTTTTTAAAATAACAACAGTGATAAACTGTAAGGTAAGTAAGAAGAGAAAGAGAAAGAAGAGGAGGAGATGGAAAATGTCTTAGAAAAAGACCCAGTTGGAATGGAAAGCAAAAGTATAACCAGCTAACCAACAATGAATATAAAGAGGAAGGTGACTAGGGAGACAAGAACATGGACTGTTGCAACAACTATAACAATGATGATGACAACCACATCAAAAATAATGACAGAGATGATGATGGTGACAATGAAGGATCATATCACCTAAAACAGAAGAAAAGAATGAGGCTTATGTGAATTGAGCTGGCTCATATTCACTTCTGTCTCATTATTCATATGAGGAGTCTCACTTAACTAACCACAGATCTTGTTGCTTTATATGTAAAGAAGAGATAGCAACTTTGAAGTGTTCAGCTCTCAAGAAACCGGAAACCACTTTTTTCCTATACAGGTAGGAAAAAGCACAGCATACATTTATAACAAAGCAGACAACAAAAATACCTTGGGGTATGCAAGAATACCTTGGGGCATGCAAGCCACTTGTGTGCATTTGCCACATAATAATCAGCCTTAAGAACACTCAAGTCTAATGGCAGGGTTCCAAGAGCATGAGCACCATCAATTAAAACTGGAACACCTTTGCTATGGCACAGTTTCACCATTTCTTCCACCGGCATAATAACAGGATAGTTACTAGGTATATGACCGAACAAAGCCAGTCTTGTACCTGCTTCCAGGGTATCCTTTATTGTTTTTAGGATTTCCTCTTTGGTGGCAGGAAATGTGATTGTAGTTTCCTTTAAAATAACACCTGAAAGTAAATCTCTGTGGTTAGTCCATGCAGTTTGAAGAGAGTTTCTCAAAGAATCCTTTTGAACTATCACCTCCCCCTTTCCCACCCAAATCCCTCTCTTTGCAGCACCATGTTATTGGGCCCCACTCTGGTCTCTACTTTTGTGTAAGGCATGGTGATCTGTTTCAAAGCAAGGAAATTCCCAGTCTAGTAGGGTAAGCAAGACTATGGTGCAGCGATGGTATAGCATTGCAAATTTTCAGAGACAATTCGCTCTGACCAAAGCTCAACATTTGAAACATCAGCCTTAAAAACTTTTTATGGAGGCCAATTAACATTACTAACCCAGTTGATAAAACCAGCTTCTCTGGATCTCTGAGATGGCCTTTGACACAATCAAAGAATACAGGACCAGTAAGGTCCATCTTGTCAGAATTATTATGATTCAATGAGATGAAAAAAGTAGCCCTCTGTAATTTTTCAAATATCTGTGTTCACTTACCGTAGGCGCTACTAAGATGCCTGAATAATTTCTTAACAGTATAGTAACAAGTGTTCAAGTAATACACGGTATCTCCTGGACGCCATTCGATGGATCTAATCACGGTATTGATGCCAGCAGTTGCGTTCGGTACAAGAACAACATCACGTGGTTCTGCACCAACAAACTTAGCCAATCGACGGTTGACATGGGCTAACAGTGGCAACATTTCTCTATCAAAAAATCGCACTGGCTGCTGTTCCACGTAGCACTGCCACTTATAAGCTGTTTCCAGACCCTCTTTTAAGACACATCCAAAAGCACCGTGATTCAAGAACGTCCAGTTGTCCAGATCCAACAAGAAGTGTTTTCGCATTTCATTCCCAAATGGGGTCGATCGGTCAAACTTGGGAAGCTCAAGGGGAAACTTTGGTGGCACGTATCTATCATCAGGAGTGCTTATAAAATTTTCAACCATATTAAACGCCATAATTCCCTGATATTTGGGTTTCTCAAGCGCCATTTGATCAAAAGTTTTACGGAAATTTTCTTTCTGGTCATTGTGTTCCTCCATGTTAGAGATTGGGTAAAGTCTATGTTACAGTTGTACGCCTGGTTGCCAAGCCTTTTCACAGGAGTGAGGCAAGGGGTGACCTTGTTATGATATAAACCTTGCCTTATTATTACGCGAACTAAATGCTGGTCTCTATCACAACATGGTCACCTTCAGCCTCGCTCCAAATCAAAGGCTTTGCAACTAAGTACACAACTGTGAAATGGCCTATTTATAGCCTAGCGTCATTTCGCCTGCTTGTCAGCTACGTTTCTTAGACACTGTACCGCTGACAATTAACCCTGAACTCAACATTCGCTTTTTTTTCTTCAAGTTTTTTTTTTATCTATTTATCAACTTGGCTAAGGTTCTACTTTAATTTTTCGACGAGTATTAAGAACAATGCAGTTAAATACAGGAGATATCAATTTAGTCCACGGTCTGTTTGGTCCTTGTAAGCAATGGGCTGCGGCTATATCAACCAGAGAGTTTGGTGAGATTTTTCCAGCAGCTGCCTTCGGGTAAATTCAGATATGGAAAATTGTGAAAAGAAAGTAATAGAATAACAAATGAAATAAATGATGATGATAATAATAACATAAAAAGAGAGAAAAATATCAATGATGTCT